CCACACGGGATGAACTGATTCAGGTATGACAGAACTCCCGTGAAATTCAAACCTGAACAGCAAGCAATTTCTCCAAGCACTCGTCAAATCTGTGAAGAAGATAATCAAGGACAACTGATTGGGAAAAACTTAGGGAGCATGAATCATTATGTTTGGGACCAGGACAGGTAGCAGGGTGCGGTGGCACATACCTGTAATCCCAGAGGCTTGGGAGGCTGAGATAGGAGAATTGCAAGTTAAAAGCCAGCCTCAGCAACGGGAAGACACTAAGCAACTCGGTGAGACCCTGTCTCTAAATAAAATACAAAACAGGGCTGGGGATGTGGCTCAGTGGTCGAGTGCCCCTGAGTTTAATCCCTGGCACCAAAAACAAAAACAAACAAACAAACAATAACAAAAAAGGACAGGTGACCACAAAGAGGTCCCCAACCAAATTACATGAACTTCTTTTTCATTTTCAAATATAAACTTTCAGTTATGCACTCAGTAAAGCTGTCAACCCCACTACGAAATGCCCAGCTTCCGTGCTGTGAGCGGAGCACCCGGGGAAGGGGTGGGGGTGGGTGCCCCAGGCCTGCAGCCCCACCACAGCCCTGAGAGGTGGAGTTTAAATTTTGAGTTACGTTTCAGTGGATAAATTTGCAATTATTAGAGAAAAAGACATCTTCGTGGTTCTTTGATATTATTGGGCTAGGGCTGTGGCTCAGTGCTTGCCTAGCACCTGTAAAGGCACTGGGTTCAATGCTTGGTACCACATCAATAAAATAAAGAATATATAAGACAGTAACCTACAATTTTGTTGGTTGAATTTCACCTTGATGAATTTGCTACTTTTATTTATTGAAATATTTCATTTCCATTGTTGCTGCAGAAAAGTTTAATTTGAATTCCTTGGAGACAGTGAGACAGTCTGTCACTAGTTGCGATACAGAACAGAATACTCTGGCCACTGGAGAGAAATCAGGAGCGATGACTCACCCCTGTCTCTGTCTGGGAAGGCTGTGCTTCCCAGCCTGGAACGTGTGGCCAAGGAGATGTGTCCAGGGAAGGTGGTGGTGTGGGCTTCCACCTGGGCATCCTCTGAGGAGCTGGTGGGAGCTCCAGGCCACTGCAGCTCAACACTCATTTCCTGTGCTCACGGGACACTTCCATCTTTCTCCCTCCCATTCCCGGGAGCCTGCAGCCAATCTGTCCTCCTCCTCCAATGTGCCCCTGAGGATTTCCACTCTCTGCAGAATGGCCCTGCACGCACAGCTGGGAGCCCCCTCTCCCACTCAAGCTGCTATTGCAGGTGGAAGCCACATCTAATGAAGGCTGTGCTCCCCAGCAGGTACTCTGAGGTGAACCAGCCTTCCACTGAGGCCCACTCTTCAGCAAGCAGCCTCATATGAGGGATAGGGACAAATGTCTCAGCACTGTCAACCTGTTGGCTATCCTGGGAAATGTGTGGACCTTAATACAACTGGAATGTGTCCAAGAGGAAATGGACACATCAGGGGATCTCTCAGAAGGTCCAGAGTGGGAGGTGGAGGCTAACATTCACCGAGGAGTTCAGGCCCCACACCAACAGAGCTCGTGGGCTGGGTGCTGGCTTCTCAAGGTTTTCCTGCTAGAAATGCAGAAAGTACCCAACACCACACTGGTGTGCCCCACTCTCCAAGCACCTCAAGCGCTTCATCTGCTTTGGGACAACACAATCAAGCAAAGAGAAAAATCTCCAGATGCCAAGCACAATTGGGCTCCTTGCCTGCTGGAGACAGGGTAGGCTTGAAGGGTTTCTGCAGAAACTCCCGGGGACCGAGCACATGGCTCCCGTTCCCAGTGCACATGCCGGCACCAGCCTCTCACACCAGGGCTCCCTGGGTGAAGACAGTAGCCGCAAGGGCTTCTCCCACCCTCCTTCCCTCCTAATGAAGGGATTCCAGTGAGAGCGGCTTGGGTGCAGTCCCAGAAAGGGGGTTGGAGGAGCCTCCGTTCCGCTGCATGAGCAAGCTGTCCCCCTCTTCACGAGTCACCACTGTGTTCTTCCACACGCCTGTTGGAAGTGCTAGGGCCACAAGAATGCACCTGAGGAGACCAGAACAGAACAAACTTGACTAAGGCAACTGCTTCCTGACCTCCTCCAGAAGCACTGAGGTAGGAAAACATCCTGAACTTAGGACGGAGAACTTAAGGTGAAGGTGTGAGAATTCATTCCTTAGATTTTCTCTGTAAACATTTTGTTATCCATAATTATACATTTTCACAAGCACTTCTAAAAACTACTAGTTTTCTAAAGTCAATTTATGCAAAGAGATAGAAAATAACAGATTAGTCTATTCCCAATTCCTGAAAAATTTACTGGTGTAAACTAAAATCTTTCACTTCTGGAACTATAAACATTTGAATTAATTCCCCGCTTCTCAAACATCAGGGAGGACAGCCTATTGCCACTGAGCGCCAGGCCAAAGAGCAGGGTAGCCCTGTTACCTGGCCCAGCACACCCTCAAGGCTCTCCTCCCGGACCAGGATCTCTCTCCAGGCCCTGTGTTAACCTCGAGGCTGGGCCAGAGGGGCCAGGTGGAGGTGGTCCACCTGGTCCACTTGCAGTGGTAAGGCCAGCATGCCCACCTGGTGTTTAATGCAGCACAGCAGATCAACATACAAAATTATATTTCTGGATCGTTGACTGTGGTTTAGGGAACTGGGTGTGAGTCTGAGCCAAGATAACACTGTGCCTAAGAGTGAGGTGGGGGTATCACAGAAAGGAAGCAGTGCTCAGATTACGGGGGACGGGGGACAGTCCTGTGGCAGGACCACAGAAAGTAAAAAATGACACAATCCCTGAGAAATGACAAAGGCAGAAGGGAACTGGAAAGAAGGTGGGTGTGTGTGTCATGATCTCCGAGGCAGAAGTGTCACCCACCCCCCGTCTTGAGAAACCATGGATGGGCGCCATCCTTCCCGTCTCCCCTGTATAAGGACAAACAGCTGAGGATCTGGTGAATGTTTCAGCTACAAGCAGGCCCAGGAGTAGAAAAAACAAGCTAAGGCAGCAGCAAGGGGGAGGACCAGAGCAGGTGGCAGGGGTCAGAGCTGCAGGGAGGTGATGGCCAGCTGACTCCAAGCTTCAGAGCTGCAGGAAGGTGGTGGTCAGCCAACAGAAGAGAAGGCTGTCATTTTTCCAGGAGCCCCTACCTGGTCAGTGAAGTTGTGCAAGCCCGTTTTGTTTCTCCTACAGAAAGCTGAATAGAATGAGCACAACTCTCAAATGTGTTATTGCTAGCTGCACTGCAGAATCTGCAAGACCTAAAGTTCAGGTCAGGCCAAGATCACACAGCCAGAGGCAAGGTGAACGGAACCAGGAATCCAGAGTCTGCGCAGGTCAGGATCCCAGCAGGACTTGATGTTCTGGCTGGTGCTGCTGCTAAGCCTGAAAGTTCAAAGGGAATGAAGAACCACACAGTGTTGCTGGTCTGGGCAGAGGGTCATCCCTGCCAGGCTCTGCGGCACCGGGGCCTGGCCCTCAGTGATCTGCCATGCACAACAGGATCACACAACATTTGCACAACACTTGTGTTTGGGCTGAGGCCTCTGGGCAGCACCCCGGCACTGCTGGAACTAGAGTCCTGAGCCAAGATGCGGAGAGCCAGGTCTGGACGTGGTGGGATCCATGCCTTCTCTGAACTGACCCATGGGACACAAATCCCTGAGGAAGCACAGGTAAGCTACAGGTCCTGTAAACCCTCCACAAGATGCGCCAACCATCTCCCAGGTCCCGGTGCACCAGGGTCACCAGCTCCATGACTCAGAGTCAGGGTACCACGGAGCACTTCCTGCTGCCAAGGGTCAGGGAGGACTATTGGGAACCAGTGGCTTGCAGAAACCTTTTAGAACTCAGAGACAAGATCATAGCCACATGGACACCCTCATGCTTGATGGAACACTTGGTGAGTGGTGGCCCAGTTCAGGGTGGCAGATGGTGTGTAGTGGGAGAGAATCCGCTCCACTTAATGTCTGGGGAGCATGTTCCTTAGACGAACAAGGACAAGGCACTCAATCCCAATGCCCACAAGGAGCAAGGGTGGCCACGGCATGAGTCTGGGTGCTCCCTGTAAGGGGGGAGGCAGTTAGATGGGTACAGCTGATATAGGTCTTGCAGATAAGGAATGGATCCTTGTTCCCTGGTGCTGAAGATTAAATACTAGCAAAACACTGAGGCAGGCATAGAAAGCAAGTTTATTTAAGAAAGTGATAGCAACAGAAGTGGCCCCAAAGCTGGGTGCCTGCCAGAGAGGTGTGTTGCTCTTTCATAGACCCTCGAATCCTCTTTTAAGTATTGTCTTCTCTTTCTTTTCCTTGTACATACCTTAGAGCAAGGATAAGGGGATCAAGTGTTTGCAACCCAGAGTGTCCAGGAGCACAATTAGATTGTAGAGGACAACAACACCTTGTGTTCTGTTTGATAACCAGACCTCATCCTCTTTCGACCCCCATCATTCATCACCTACACTGACTGCCTGACCTTTGCTAAGGAACGTGACATCCTGTGCACTCGGGCTGTGCGGGGCTGCTGGCAGACTGATTTTTAGCAAAGAAAGTATGGGAGGAGACTGTCCACCCAGGACTGTGGCCGCCTGGACTGCACACCACGGCGAGAGACTGGACCGACTCACAGCCTCCAGAGAAGCCGCTCAGGTGCGCAGGGAAAGGCGCTGTGCGTGAGCCGCGTAGGACGAGCACCAGCAGGGCCTGGGTCCTCACGTAGTCACCCGCAGTCAGTTCATACGCTGCATCGGCTGCGCGTCCCAGTTAGGTGTACCCCGAACCGCGTCCCCCGCCCGGTCCCTTAACAATGGAGTGAGTTCCCAAGGTCTGGATGTCCCTAAGCTACGGGTACCAACCCGAGCTCTCCAGGTCCCAGAGCGGGACAGTTCCCGGCCCGCGGGGAGCCCATGCCGCCCGACCGCGGAGCCCGGGAGCAACGCCTGCAAGCCCAGGAAGAGCACCACCACCAGTACGACCGCCCAAAGACCGCGAGATCGGGACCGAGAGCGCGGGGCAGTATCGCGAGACGACCATTCTCGCGACCAGCGGCGATCTCGCGAGACTATAGTGCGCGTCCCTCCGGGGGAGCCGGGCGGGGCGAAACGGCTTGGCGGTTGTGGCGAGGGCGGGCCTTGTGGACACCATGCCGTCGGCCTTTTCAGTCAGCTCCTTCCCCGTCAGCATCCCCGCGGTGATCACGGTAACAGTCGGCCGCCGAGGTGCAGGAACCGGTGTGGGCGCGGTCGGGTTGCCCCCCGCCCCCGGGTTCGCGGGAGGGAGGCGTGGACCGCGCTGCGGGGGCGGGGCTTGGCCTTGCGGGCGGGGCCTGGTGGCGGTGGGCGGGGCCTGGGCAGGACAGCGGTCACGGGGCGTGGCTATGCCCGTGGGGCTGGAACTGGGCGGGATTGTAGTCATGGGGCGGGGCTGGGTCCGGGGCGAGTGCCTGCTCTGCAGGTTGGGTTCCCTCCTGCGCTGCTCTCAGGCTGCATCTCCGGGTCTCTGGCTCCTGGTGGGCCCCTGGTTTGGGGCCTGGGCAGGGAGAGATTCCTTCCCTGCCAGGCTATGGACAGGCTGCTCTGTGTTCTAATGCCCAAAAGTCAGAGGTGTTCACTCCCTGAGAGCAGTGTGGACACTTAGAGCTGTCCTTGAGGGTCCTGGGAGCAGGGATTGCCTCACCCAGGAGGGTTACAGGAAGGCCTCAGCATCCTGTACTGGGAGCTGGGCCGGGGGGTTGGGGTCCAGGCTCAGAAGGCTCCGAGCCTGGTGGTGGAGACCAGGAGCGCTGGGCGTATGGCAGAAAGGGTGGGAAGGTCAGGTCATTCGGGTTAGGTGGCTCAGGCTTCCAAGGCATTGGTGCTAAGGCAGTAGTCCAAGGGGCTTCCACAGTCCTAGTTTCTGTTTGGTATTAACCAAGTGTATCACCTTGAAGTTGCTCAACCTCCTGGTCATGTCAGGGTGTGGTCATTGCTTAGATTTTACCCAACTTTAAAATACTGCTTTATTCAACCACCCAAACAGGCAGGTTGGTGATGCCCTCTGTTTTGTGTGCTCAGACTATAAAATCTTTAAAAACTCTTTGGTGTGGTTGCAGTGGAGAGGATTCCTACTTCTCTCCCTTTCCTTTTCCTGCTTCCACCTTCCCATGAGGGCTGACTGTGTTTTCGGGGCCCCTGAGAAAGCTGTATCCTGGACCTGAGCCTGCCCTGCCTGACTCGCCTATCCTTACAGCAGACAGACTGGAGTGAGCCCTGGCTGGTGGGGCTGGCTGTCTTCCACGTGCTGTGCCTGCTTCTCACTTGCTTCTCATCCCAGAGGTACCGACTACAGATTGGCCATTTCCTGTGTCTCGGTGAGTAGAACAGAACAAAATCCCTGTGCTCTGATGGCCATGCGACCTGATGCCAGCATGCCATCTCCAAAACATGTAAATATTTCACAGCCCCTCCCATACCTTCCGTGAGTCATTCTGTGTGAATTTGAAAGGAACCTTTGGAGCACCTCCCCTGTGCAGGGGAGGGTGCTGAATTCCAGATGGTTACAAAGACTTCTTAAGTGTAATGAAATCTGGCTGTTTTTAAAGCAGACATTTCCCTGCTTGGGCTCAGTCCTGCACTGCTTGCTCTGGAGAAAGGATGTAAACTAAGAAGGAAAGTTTATGTGTTGAAATTATATTGCCTAGATGAGTTTTAAAAGTAAGGGCTAAGGAATTTAGAGAAGGGATGTAGCTTCAGGAAAAGATTGACAAAAATTTCATGGAGCAAGCAAAATCATGGTACAGGGTGGGAAGAGCAGGTAAGGTGGAGTAAGAAAAGAAAAAGAGCAGCTAGCTGGCCCAGGCGAGAGGGCGTGAGCATCCAAATGAGGGAAGGAAGACAGATTCCAGTCTAGAGGGCTGGAGTTGTCTAGGGAGTATGGACCAGAGGTCAGAGAAACTACAGCCTGCAGGGCTGAGCATTCTGATGCCCCCTCTGAGGCACAAGGGGTTCTGGGTAACACTGTGGGGGAGAGCCTCTGAGCCTGACCAGGCCCTTCTTGATTTTGTAGACATTAGAAAGACAGCAAAGAGCTGGGCCCAGTGGCACACACCTGTAATCCCAGCAGCTCGGGAGGCTGAGGCAGGAGGATTGCAAGTTCAAAACCAGCCTCAACAAAAGTGAGACACTAAGCAACTCAGCGAGACCCTGTCTCAAAAAAGCCTGGGGATGTGACTCAGTGGTCAAGGTCCCCTGAGTTCAATCACCTGTACCACCCCTGCTCCCTAAAGATAGTGAAGATTCTGCTAAGTAATTAAAACATATCAGCTACTTTGAGAGAAGCTCTGTGCAAGGTAGGAAATCTGAACACCAGGTTGCCTTAGGAAGACTGGAGTGAAACGATCAGAGCTTGCATTACAGAAAAGTGGGTCTGTAAAAATCAAGGTGATCTGCGTTGTTAGGTCCAGTTCTCCACAGGAGAGCTTCTACCAGGTCAAGCCCTAAGGAAGGGCAGGGATACAGTGGGGAACAAAATAGCCTCCTGTCTTAATGGAACTTCCCAGTGGACAACTCCTTCAGCACATACTCAGAGGCCTCATTGCACTGTTACCACCATGCTGAGCTTCTGATGGGAAAGGCCAGAGCATAGGGAAGGTGTGTGATGCCAGACTGAGGTGGCAGGAGCCAGGCAGGGGGCCAGGGGAGCTCCCTGGAGAGGTCAGGGTGGGAAGGGGTGGCAGAGCCAGGCAGGGGGCCAGGGGAGCTCCCTGCAGAGGGCAGGTGGGAAGGCCGTACAGCAGGTGCCTTGAAGAAGGGCAGCCTCCTGGGAGAGCTAACCCATGGAGCAATTTGAAACTTATGAACAGTGTGGGGTTGGGATGTGACTGTGGTCACATTGTTCCACGTGCTCTTCATGTCCTCTGACTCATTAAATTCCTAAGCTGCCCTACTAAGGGTTGCCACCTTCTTACAGATGAAACACACTGAGATGCAGAGACTGCCCTAGCTGTGCAGTGCACCATCAGCAGGGAGAAGGCCAGGCTCCTAGCCAGCTCTTGGCCTCTCTGGCTCTGCATTCTGTTTGCCTTCATGGGTCTACCTGTCAGGCAGGTAGTGAGGAGCTAGATAGCCCTGGGCTAACCCACTTTCCGATTTGGGTCAAAAAGGTTTGGCTGACAGTGAAGGCATGGAGTTGCTGAGTTTGCTCTAGTCCCTCACACACCCTCTCTCTGGCCTGCGTGGACACAGGCCTCACCCTACACTAGCAGGAGGCCTGGACAGTTGTGTCCTGTGCTCCAAGAACGCCATGGTCTTTGGGAGGCTGGAGGGCAGAGAGGCCATGCAGCCCCCGGTCAGCAGCCCCCATGGCTGCACCACCTGGCTCCTTGAAGGTAGGGATGTATCATAGCAGTCTCACCTGGATGGCCTGAACATGAGGCAGGGAAGCAGTTTAGGCACCAGGTGTGGAGTCTTGCTTATGATCCCACTGCAGGGTGTCCAGGAGCCACCTGCGGCTGGAGTCATGAGAAGATGCCATCTCAGCATAGCTATGCCTCGTAGTGGGCACTGGGCACTCCAACCTTGTTAGAGTCTGTAAACAAGTCTGGATGGCGCCTGGCAAAATGCCGGAGGGAGTGGTTTGAGAAGTAACAAAAGCGAGCCATTAAGTGTGGAGATTCCTTATTGGTTGACTGCTGTATCTAGTTTATGCTAATTAGATAAGCTGTGTGGAATGTATAAATACCCCTTCTGTCCTGCAATAAACGGCTCCCACTCCTGCTGTATCAATGTACACAAGTTGCTCGTCACCCCCCGGTTATTTTGCTGCAGCCGGACTGCGGCACAACCTGGGCCTCCAGCAGTCCCACGGGTCCCATCTAGCCCACTGACATCGTGCGTGTGGGGTGCTCTTAGTCCTTTCTGTCAGGGAGCACGTTCCACATTCACAATTTAATTGTAGCCAAAATAGAAATTGCATTTCTCTTCATTGTGTCAGTGTCCTGGTGTAAAGAGCGCTGTGCTGACCCTGGCCATCTCCATTCTAACGTGATTTCTGTCTTCTCAGTGGTCCTGGTCTATTGTGCTGAGTACATCAATGAAGTGGCCGCAATGAACTGGAGGTAAAGTCGGCTCCTGCGCGTCTCGCTGAGTCTCAGGAGTCAGCCACCGTGCTGCTCACACGCAGCACTCCCTGTGAGTGTCAGACTTATGGGAGACAGCAGGAAGCAGGAGTGCGTCACACCCTGAGAAGCAGCTGGTTAAATGTTTCACGAACCGCGTTACTTTTGGTGACTGAACCATGCCACTGTACCTGTTGGTTGATCCTTAATAACAGTGAGGGAATTTCATGGGCTACTTTAATTTCAGTTACAGAATTGAAAAAAGATGGGTCCTGCTGGAGCCTCCTAAGGAGGCTGCGAATCTCAGCGCAGGGCGTTCCCAGCTCAGCGGTCCTTAAGAGCAGAGGCTGGCTGTGAAGCCATGCCTGTCGTTGGTGCAGAGCACCGAGGCTGCTGCTGCGTAGCTCCAGGACTTCAGGTCACTAGCAGACCTGCAGTGGTGCCCCGCCTGCAGCGGGCCCGGAACTCCTGGTGGGCAGGTTTTTGAGCTTTGAAGTATCTTTTGGCTCTTTTCCCCCATCATCATCTCTCATAAAGAGCCCTGTGGCGATGCCAAGTTATTTGCTGTGTTTTTTTTTTTTTTAAACAGGTTGTTTTCAAAATACCAGTATTTTGACTCCAGGGGGATGTTCATTTCTGTCGTGTTCTCAGCACCACTGCTGCTCAACGCCATGATCATTGTGGTATGTAGCTTTAGACTTTTAAGTCCTGGTTTTCTTCAGGCCTATTTCCCAGTTCTGAATATGTCCTAAAATGATTGTTGTAGATTTTGTGGGTACGCAAGACTTTGAACGTGATGACTGACCTGAAGAACTTGCAACAGAAAAGAAAAGAGAAGCAGCGGAGGAAGGAGGAGTGAGGTCGTGCCCGTTGGCTTCCTCTGCCAGGGGGTTCTGTGCAGTGGGGCCCAGGCGTCCTCAGCTGGCTTGGGGAAAGCCGTGCTCCCCTCTGGAGGCCCCGTGCTGGAGCACACACTAAAGTTGTTTCTCAAACTAGCACGGATTGTACCCCTGCGTGTTTGTTGAGCCTGGGTCCACCCTTAGCATGCCTGGTCTCTGGCTGAGCCCCAGGAGGGCCCTGTGTATCTCTCCAGGACTCCATAGTCAGTTACAAAGTGTCTGCTCGGTGTGGAATCTGAACCCCAGTGGTAGTGCTGTCCTGCACACAGGCCCATCACCTGGCTGTCCCCCTGTGTCTTGTGCTCCACGGGATGGCTCTTAACTGAGGGCACTTTTGCCCCCAAAGGACTTGTGACAGTTTGGTAACACTTTTGCTTGTCACTGTAGGTGGAAGTGGGTGGAGCCTAAATGCTGCTGAACTCCTGCAAGGATAGACTGTGGCCCCCCAGAGGACTGTACAGAGTGCTGGCCCCCGTCTTCTCAGCCTGAGGCCTTTGAAGCAGGTCTGGCAAAGATGGAACATATCTAATGTACTGACCAGTCCCCTGAGCCCAGGGCCCTCTGAAACCACCAGCTGGGCACATCTCGGTGTAACGGCTGGATCCCATGAGGTTAGGCTTTCTGAAACCAACAAGGGGCTACCTCACTGAAAATACTTTTGCTCAAGACTCTAATGTGAAGGGAAGCGTGAAGTCGGGACTACATGGAAAAGAATGTGTTAAATGAGCCCTTTACTTTGTTCTGAGTGCAGAATTGCAGATAGAGGAACATTCACTGGAGGCCTAGTGGGCTCCACCCAACGTGGACGGTGCAGGCCCCCTGTGCCCTCCCTGAGTCTTATCCTGCTTGAGCACCTTCAGGCTGCCTGTCTGGGGTATGGTGCTGTGAAACACTTTTCGATTTTCAGAAAGAAAAAAACTGTCCAAGTGAAAGCACTTACATTTAGAAGGTCAAAAATCGACGGTTTGTCAGATTGAAGAATCGTCTAGAAATCCAGATATGTGAGTTTTCAGTTTTACATGGTGTCACGCTCTTAGTGAAGAAGCTAGACTGAGTCCAACAGGAGGTAGCTGTGAGCAGACAGAATCCTCAGCCAGGCCACTGGAGCTCTTTGCCTGTAGCTCTTCCCAGTCCCTCTGGATCTGTTCAGCTTGTAGAGTGAACACCGAGGAGTCTGAGAACCCTGGTCTTAAGCAGGTCCAGTCTCAAGTCGACATCACCTGTGGGGTTGTGTGGCACGTCTGACGGTGCACATCCCAGGTGCACCACAGGGTGTTTACTGACACATGGCTTCACTCGAGTTCCCACCCCACAAGGTGGTTTCTTAGAAAATGAAGTGGGCTGCTATATTTGACTGCAGGAGCTCAGAGCAGGCGTGTGTGGCTCTCCAGGGCTGTTCCCTGCCAAGCTGTCCAAGGCCAGCCATGGGAAGCAGGTCAGGAAATTGCTGGAGAGGACATGTGTGAGGAGGTGTCTGAGCTCATGCCCAGCTGAAGTACACCAGCAAGGTGGTAGGCCCTGTCTGTATGTTGGACCGTGTGGATCTGGGCCTGTCCAGCTGAGTCCAGCCTCCCTGGAGAAAGGTGTGTAATAGTACTGTTAGCTCTGTATCTTGGGGCAGCCCACATGTGACCCTGATGTGGGCTCCAGGTTTCGCATGTGTGTTGTTTTCACAAAAATGGAACTTTTTAGTGAGGCTCCTATTTTAGTGGCTGGAAATTGCATTGCTAGCAACTATCTTTGTATCTTTTCTTCTTGTTAGAGAAAATTCTGCAAGCCAAAATCATCAACACTGAGTAATTCATAAAACTTGTGTGGGCTCATGCAGGGTTCCAGTGGGGATTGTGGTGTGGGCCAGGCACTTGCCCATATGCCTGAAGTGCTGGGCTCCAGTGTTAAAACAAGGTGTGGGGTGTGAGCCCCACTCATCCATGCTCTGAGAATGGAAGGCTCAGGGGCCCCTGCTCCTCTGCTTAAGTTAGGAAGTGCTTTTACCATGTGTTTATGAACAAAGCAGAAAAAAGGACATTCTGCATACTCCAAGCCTGTGACACTGTAAGTTTATTGATTGGTATGCAATAAAACCTTTGATAGTACATAGTATGTTTACCCCAGGGAGTGTTTGTTTTGATTCTGAGCTTAGGACAGGATCCCGACTGCAGGGTGGGCTCCTCAGCACCTGGCCATGACCTTTACTCACCCAGAAATTTGTCAACTCCCCAGAAGGACATGAACTCAGGCTTAGAGATGGGTGCTTCAGGTTAGAAGGAAGTGCCTGGCCTGCACTGTTAAGGAACTGAGAAGGTAGAGGGAATCTGAGCTGCTCCTTTCCTTCACAAGACATCTACATGGAAAGTAAACGCGCTCACAGGTGTGCTGGAGGCGCAGCATGGGGTGCCTCCTGGGTCTCGAGTCAGATGCTTGAGGTAGCTGCTGCGCCTGACAGCCCCACTTCCCCAGGTCCTTGCTTTGGGAGGTCTTTAGGCTTCCTCCTCCAGGCTTCTGGGGGCCATTTTCTTCTACATCATACAGAACACGTGTAAGTCCCTGGGGTCCCTGGAAGGGCACTCAGGACTCAGGCTGTCACGGGTGGCTGTCAGTGGCAGGGCAAGACCAGGACCCACCTCTGAGTCCTTCCAGAGGGCTCCTGTGGGTGTGCTGAGCAGCTGCAGGGGGTGTGGCCCGCCAGAGCCTCTGCATGTTTGTGTTGAGGTCCTCACGTGGGAGGGACTGCATGGCCTGGCCTGTTCATTGAAGTACTCCTGTGACCGGCAGGTCATCCCCGGTGACCTCCTGAGTGCTGGCGACTGCTTGACTGTCCTCATGAGGCAGTGGAGGGAGACAGTATAGGAAAGAATGTGGATCGTGCATCTAGTCTTGCCTTGTTGTCCCCTGGGCAGTGGTCCCTGGACCTGTGAACACCAAAATTGTCAGGTTACCGAAAAGAGTGTGGTAGTGGCACAGACCCAGGCACATCCTCCTGTGTGTTAAATCACCTCTAGGTTGATTATAATTTCCAATACAATGAAAATGCAGAATAAATATGTCTTACACTGTATTGTTCAGGAGGTAATAAAAATGTATGTATTCAGTCACCCCACTTTTTACAAAAGATTTGTGATGCAGTGTTGGTGGACTGCAAGGATGTAGAAGCAAGGGGTCCAGAGGACCAACTGCATGCTGGGTCTTAGGAGTGTCATGAAAGAAACAGCAGAGTGCCGGGAGCCCTGGGCATGAGCAGGGCTGGTGCAGGCAGGCCTGAATGTTGGCAGGTCCTGATATTAATAGGGCAGTGGTGTTTCAACCATATCCTTAGAGGAGAGACATGGAGGCATACAGAGACCTGGGGGGCAGCAGGTGGCCCTGCACAACATGAGCCTTTACCTTGGAGAAGATTCGGTTTCTTGACTCTGAAAGCATTCCTTCCACAGCTGTCTACCTGCACTCGCCCTCCATCCTCCGCGGGGCCTATGCTCCTTCCACCTGCAGACCACTGCCTGCCAGTGCTGAGTGCTCGTGAAGCTCTGCCTCGGCTGGAGCAGAGCAGCCCAGCGTGCATCGATTTGCTCTGTGTTGATCATCTCACTTTTCTAATTTCTTTTTCCTGAATCTAGCACTGACCCCATGAGTCCAGGGTCCTCTAGAAGTGGGATTCTTAAGGAATTTGCTCCAGCCTTTTCCTGCGAGTCTTCTAACATCAGATGCCTATTTTATGTGGGCCTGGGTTTTATTTGTGTGCTTTTACTTTTTCCCCTGGTCTTGATCTGGCTGTCTCCAGTTGCCTCTGCTCCAGTGCCAGCCCCTGTTGAGGGACAGACCAAGTTGGCCTTGGGTGCTCCTGTGTTGGGACTGGGGTAACACATTGCATATCTGTCCCCAGAGGCAGAAGGACTAGGTGGAACCTCCCCTCCTGCACCCACAGGCCCCCAGGTGGCAGTGGGCCACAGATGGCCTGCCTGTGTTGTTTTCATGGTCCTTCCCTGCCAGCCAGGATTCAGTCCTCGTCCCAGTCATGCAAGGGTTATCATCTGGGAGCACTGCTGTGTGCCACTAGCCTCAGCTTCACTCCCTGCCCTGACACTGTTGGAATGTGGACTTAGGGCTCTGCGTCTTTATCTCAGCTGGCCTGGGCGTTCTTTATGCTTGTATAACATCGCGCCTGTTGGGAATGGGGCAAGAGGTCATTTGTCAAGAGTAAGCACCACTTTCCCTGAAGGTCTGCCTCCTCTGAAGTGACTGCTCGGTCCTTTGATCATGAAGATGTTTCACTGTGTGACATCATGTCTGGCATGGCAGATAACCAGACCAGGTGCCAGTCCAACTTCCTGCGGCAGCTGCTGATACTGGAGACTCTGCGTTTCTCACTGGTTACTACTGGGCAGCAGGAACATGTGCAGCCTGAGAGGCATCCTTTACCTTTCCTACACATGATGGGAATTGAAAAATAGCTACTTGCTGGCAGTTGATAAATATGGAAATATGGCTAAGTCACTTGTCAGGAAGCACGGTCCCACATCAGCCCTGCACGATTTCTGGACTTTGCCTGTGCTTCCGGGCAACTTGGAAAAGTGCTTTGCTGAGTGAGGGACAGTCTCACCTCACTGCTTTGCATATCCTCAGTTGCCAGCGAGGGTTATTTAACATTTTTTCAAATTGTTATTGGCCTTTTGCACTTTTGTGAATAGGCTGTTCATGTACTTTATTCTTTGTATTACAGTATAGGCTTTTAAAGATATATGTTTCTAATTTTATGTATCAAAATTCACAGTACATGCAAATATATTTCCAGCCTTGGGTGAAAAGTTTTGTTTTGGCCTTGGGTGAAAAGTTTCAGAACGATGAACAGCATGTGCTCTCCAGTCAGGGTTGACGCCTATGGGGCCGAGCTGTGGCTCCTCCTCAGCCGTAAGGAACCCGCTGGCACTAGTGCTGGCAGCAGGGGAAGCAAGGACCCAGCCCTGTGCCACCAGCCAATCCCTGCACTTGTAGCTGTGCTCAGGTCACATGTGGCACAGGCTTGCATTAGGGCCAGACACATTGTCACCTCTTCACCCAGCTCCCGGCTCCTGAAGCACAGGGCAGGAGGGTTTGAGCATCTGGACTGGCGCTTTCTCCTCCCAGGCAACTGACCAAGACTGTTAGCCCATCCACAAAGCCAACCAGCAAGGCTCCTGCTCTCAAGTTCTCTGTAGGTCTCCTGAGATCATTATCACATCAGATGGTGAATTTTAGACAGTTTGTGTTCTGATGATGCAAAAGCTTCTCCAAGCACCTCTGGAAACACTGGGTGCACAGTACCATGAGCATCTGCATCCTGAAACGGCTGGGTGTGTGCTGGTGAGTATGGTCTCTGTTCAGCAGAACCGTCGCCTTGCCTGGGCTTGGGCTCCCTTGTGACTAGCTCCCTACTCAGTGACAAGGCTGCTGATGCCCTGGAACCTCTGCCCTGAGCAGGTGAGGAACCGGAAGCAGAGAGGACCAGGATCGGGTTTTTGCTGCTGGACAGGCAGAAGGACTTTGTTTACTTTCCTCCAGGGAGGTTTGAAGACCCTTCTGACAGGGAGGCCACTTGACTTTGGTGGCAAATTAAAGTAGAGTGCAGTTGACTGATTTCCTAGCATAAGAGCTGCAAGCTGGAGGAGTTCTACCTGTTAGCACGTTGTACTTGTAAAAATGTGTTCACAGAAACCAAGAGCTCCTGGGGAGCACACAGTGTCTGACACTCCGCAGGTGCTTCTGTGGCCTCAGACACCAGGAACCTGCAGGGGCCTGGCACCTAGTAGAGTGGCCTTTGCAGTACTCCTGAAGCTGCATGGGGAGAGGATGTCAGTTCCACTTCCTGGTGTTCCCAGAGGTTTGCTCAGAGGAGTGACAAAGGAAATGTTACCTGGGAAACGAGACGCTGGTGTGAAGGGTGTCTTTGAGCTAGAGAGTTTTTTGTTCTTTTTCTTCTGTTTAGATATACATGACAGTCGAGTGTATTTTGACTGTTATACATACATGGAGTATAACTTCCACGCTGGTGGTTGTACGTGATGTGGAGTTACACTGCTCGTGTAGTCATATGTGAACATAGGAAAGTGATGTCTGATTAGAGAGTTGGTTTTGCCCTTGCTAGAAACTCTGTAGAAATTTAACATGGACCAAATCCCTGAAATCCCCTGGGCTTCAGCTTCCCCTATGAAAAGGTGTATAAGGACACTGTCTGTACTTGTCCAGTAAGACAAGGCCGCTGTGGGAACCAAGCAGGCGGCAAGGCTCAGACCTCCCTAGGCTGCAAGCACACACACTGCCGCCCAGCTGGCAGCCACTGTCCTGCAGGACCACTGGAGCCCTGTGCTGCTGGCTCCGGCCCACCCAGGGAAGAGACATGAGCAGACAGCACAGCAAGGCAGGGTGCAGGCCTCATGTACCGGCCAGCCTTGTCCTCTACAAACCTGTTTCCCAGCTAGAGGTAGAGTCCATGCTGAAGCCGTGCGCTCGCCCAGGGCTGGCCTAGCCCAGGCTGCCTTGCCTGGGGAAGCACACTCCACCAACCACCAGGGGGCACCAGAGTGCTGTCGAGGCTGCTGTTCCTGTTCTGAGACCTGCTGCTTCTGACTGAGGAGCGCTTGGAAGCAGCTCTGCAAGGCAAATTTTAGTTCTGCAGACGGGCGAGCTACAGAACCTGGCTGCTGTGCACCTGGGTGGGCAGTCCTTGCTCTGGCACTCAGGGCCATATCTGCATGGTTAGCTAATTTTAAGTTGGGCTGGGCAAAGGGAAGGGCTGTAGTTAAAAGTGGCTGCGATTGGATCTTATCCCAATTAAGGCTAAATACTGTATTCTGAAAAGCACCACCAGACTTTCTGTTTCTCACAAGTCCCTCCTTTTTCTTTTTATCCTTTTTGGTCTCATTTTCATTTTTGTTCCCATACCCTTAGGTATTGCCATCCATCCTGGATATGTTAACTTTTTGAGGTGCAAATCACCCGTGGTTATGACGCCACCCGTTTTTAGCAGTTCGGTGATTGGGAGCACTTGGTAAGGTCCTTTCCAACTCAGTGTGAAGCTTGTCTTCTTTCAGGTCTTGATGAAAACCAAGTCACCAGGCTGGCAGTGATGAATTGTGAACTCCAGAAGAGGAGTCTGAGCAGCAGTTCATAATAATTGTACCGGAAAAAAAGTAACACAGATAGATCTCAAGGTGACTCAGAACAGACTTGTGACTCTGACAGAGCTTTCTGCGATATTATCACGCACTCCTGTATAAAGCCCTTCCTTTATAACCTCACAGTTTTACTTTTAGGAAGACTGACAAAAATGTTCATCTCTGATAAAAGAACCATTGTCTTATCTTTGAATTGTTTGTGTAAGGTGTGCTTTGGTTATATTCTCCTGCCAAGTGTTTAAGACCAAGGTGATCAAAATCGACCTTTGTTGTTTTTTAAGATCTATTGTTAGAGTTAGCTGACATTTGCCAGGGATCCCTCTTGGGAACTTGTGAGAAGCCTCCTAACTCCTTTACCTTTTCCTCTACCAATTGTGCCATATGCCAGGATGGGTCAGGGTCTTGCTGACCACAGTGGCTTCCCTTGGAAGCATCGGGGACATTTTCCTCTCTACTAACCTTCCTCTTTGCAGAATGTGTGCTGGTTGACTTCCTGTTTTCTAGGGTCCTCTCAATACCCCTGTTCAGGAGATTGGGTGACTCACCAGAGTTGCAGGGCCCAAAGAGAGGTCCTGTCATCCCCTGGGTTCTTGTTGACCTTAGAGGGCAAGGGCCAAAATATTGGCTGCTTTTTCCTTGGCCCTTTTACTTCCTAAAATTTGGTCTCCAAGTTTCAAGACCAGTTTCACCAGTCTTGAAATAGGAGTACTGGGTTTTAAACTCTAATGTCTATAATCTTACAGTCACCCCTTCCATTTAATTGGGATCAGTATTAGTAGTGGAAGTCAGCTTCATATTCTGTCTGTCCTGTAGGTGGTGCTGATTATCTCAAGTTAACGCAGGCTGTTTTATTAGAAGCAGTACTTCTGCAAAACACTAACAGACAACAGTTATAAAGTTCTATATGGAAAATACAAAATGAAATTAACAAGACCCAAAACACTTTTAGTATAAGAGCTTTGAATCAAGAAAAAATTTCTATAATAACACTAATATATCTTTGGTATCTATTTTACCTCTACAAAGACCTGTAAATTTATCAACTCAGTCTCATATAAGATCCTTTATGAATTTTACTTCTTTTAAAAACTCTTTTGCAACCTTTTAAATTTACCCAAACCCTTATTTAGTTTTGTATTATATCCCTGATTTATTTTAGAGATTGTAGTAACCCTTACAACAAAAATGAAACTTTTGAGCATAACTTTAAATGTACTTAATTCTGGCCTCCTTTGGAGCCATCCTAACATGGAGTAGGTGAGAGGCAGAGCCCTTCTATACAGAAATCAGCATGGCCAAGACACAGATGCCTGCATGTATGGGGATTCCAGGAGGCCCTGTTGTGAGGTGTCCCCTGGGCAATTGGAGCATCCTGCCAGATCTTGAAAGGGAAGACCGTTTGCCCCCCCCCCCCCCCCCCAGGTTATAATCTAACTATAACCCAGTGATATGTCCTTGTGACTGGCAGTTTTTACCCCTGAATAAGATAGGGTAATCATCAGGCACTCAGTGTAATGAGCCCCAAATTCAGGTTTTTCACCCACAATTTAAAGGCCACCCTGTGAGGTTAAACATTCCAGCCAATTCCTTTGTCCCAGAACGGAAGGAAAATGGAAGTGGGGTTAGACCCAAGGGGAGGTTACAGAAAAATTCAGACTGAAGGACTAACAGGCATAGTCTGTTAGAGAGTCGGGCCAAGCCAGTGGCCTTCATGCCTTCCCCGTGCCTGGGCAACACAGATGCCAACCATCAGCCCAACAGTTCTCCTAGTTCTGTTCAGCATGGACTCTAATCAGTGCCTTTATCCAGAAGCCCAAAGTCCCCAGACTAGTACACCCAAGTGGGAAAAAACCCTCTGTTAGGTTCCCCCTCACAACAAGATGTCTTCTCTCATTCAAATAGATCTTACTGCTTTTTAATAAAATGAAATACTTTAGTCTTTATAGTACTTTAACAAAAAACAGCTGAAACTTTTTGTACATACATAGGATTATATCTGTTTGAATTTTAACGCTTAGTAACCATGCTTTTTGGTTAAGACCCAGAAATAAGGAATCTTAAAACTTTCTGTTAATTACCAATTTGTAAAAACACATTTAATAGACCCAAATACATATTACATTATGGAATCCAAGAAACCAAGAGTTGATGTTTTGATATTTTAACTTTGCAAATTAATTAGATGTCTCCTCTTACAGACACACTTATAAAGATTAATCCCATTTATGTTAAAACTAATTCACTCATTTTCTGACTTAGGTTACTCATGAAAACCAAAGTATCAAACAAGTCTGGTTAATACTTTAAGTCAGTTATTTCTGCCAAAGAAGAATCCTTAGAAGCAATGGACATTGCACTTAAAACATATCATAGAAACCAACACTGACTGGCTGGCCACCTAGAAAAATGTGTGCGTTGGTAATTTCAAAGCATCTTTACTCTTACCAATTACTATTGACTCTTTTTGTTAAAAGTTTTTTTTTTAAGTCACATGAACTGAAAATCATTTTGATCCATTCATTAAATTTATGAGTACTCATTTATTTAAGCCAGTTTTGATGCCATGTACATGATATACACAGCATGTATGTGGAGAGGACTTACAGTGTGCAGGTATGTACAAATGTGTACATAAAACAGGAAATAAGGATTCGATGGCTCTTTACCAGGCATAAATTCCTACAGGAGGAGGCAACAAAAGAACTATCAGATTTAACCATTTAGAAATTAAAATAGAGCTTGTCACAGATTTTCACAGTATGACCCAGACATGAAAGGGATCTGTGCACCTGGGAACATCAGGAAGGGACTGCAGCCATGGTGGATGCTGAAATCAAAGGTTCCGGTGGCTACTCATCCCTCGTGGGCAGATTCACTATCATCATCACTACAATCCATTTCCCCTGCTTGGAAAACACCTACAAGGATCTTTCCATTGGCCTTCCCTCTTCCTGGGTCTAGAATTTGTATTCCCCATTATTTTGTGGTTGAGTTTCCCCTGTGTACTCACTTCCCCTGATTTGAGGTGTCTTTATATCTGGGCCCCCGCTGCCATCCCGCTCTCCTGGGTGTGGTCTTGTGTTTCTGCTCACACAACCTCAGGACGTCCTGAAAACCAAGGATGTGCTTCTTTCTTCAGCATAGATTTGCCTGCGTTAGTCCACACTGGGCGTTACCTGGTGGCCTGCGTCGGTCCACACACGGAGATTCCTGGTGGCCTGTGTGGGTACATGCATGGAGTTACCTGGTGGCCTGTGTGGGTACATGCATGGAGTTACCTGGTGGCCTGTGTGGGTACATGCATGGAGTTACCTGGTGGCCTGTGTCGGTGCAAGCCAGGTATTCCCTGGTTCCACAGGGCGTGCTTGGGCCCCTCCCTGTGTTGCTGATCCACTTTGAATTTCGGGTTCATCATTAGCCACAGGTTCACAGTTTCCTCCCCTGCTCTGAGGCCACCGCAGCAAGGCAGCAGGACACATCTCCTGAAAGGAGGGAGTCCCCATGACCCCTCAGGTAATATGTGGAGCAGCACATCAGGTGCCATCGTGGTTAGAGACAGCAGGTGCTGCCAGGAGTCAGCACGTGCTCAGAAGCGGCTGGCAAGGCGATCTTCGCCTCTGCAGAGGGCGTGGTGCTGAACCTGGCTAGCAAGCCCCCCGGTGGGTAGCCCTGCTTTACCCCAGAGCAGCACCACCCCTTGCCCTGAGAGGGGAGATCTGGGATACAGTCTATACGATTGGCTGCTTTTAAAATGGGGTACGGCAAAAGGCAGGGGGCTATGGTTGAATGGCTGTAATTGGCTCTTACGTCCCAATTAAGGCAAATACTGTATTCTGAGAATGGACTACCAGAGTGTCTCTCTCTCTCTCTCTCTCTCTTTCTCTCTGTCTCTCACTTTCTCTCTCACTTTCTTTTTCTGTCTCACTTTTCTCTCTCACTTTCACTTTCTCTCACTTTCTCTCTCTTTCTCTCTGTCTCTCACTTTCTCTGTCACTTTCTCTTTCTCACTTTCTCTCACTCTCACTTTCTCAATTTCTCTCTATCACTCTCACTTTTTCTCTCTCACTTTCTCTCTCTCACTTTCTCTCTCACTCTCTCACTTTCTCTGTCTCACTTTCTCTGTCACTTTCTCTTTCTCTCTCTCACTTTCTCTCTCTCACTTTCTCTCACTTTCTCTCTCTCACTTTCTCTCACTTTCTCACTTTCTCTCTCACTCTCTCACTTTCTCTGTCACTTTCTCTTTCTCTCTGTCTCTCACTTTCTCTGTCACTTTCTCTCTCTCTCTCTCTCTCTCTCTCACACACACACACACACACACACACACACACACACACACACACACACTAAGGGCACATGTGGTTGCACACACCCTGCTCACTGTGTCCAGAGCACTAATGCAGGTGCCTGGGGATGATGCTACCGTGTTCTCAACCCCTCTCCTCTCATCCTCCCTCCCTCCCTCCCTCCCTTCTCCATTTCTTGGCATTTCTCAGCAAAGTGGGTACCATCAAAGCCAGGGTAATGTCCATGCCCATGTCTCACAAGGGCTCAGGGGATCTGGCCATGAGAACCAGGCTTGCTGTGAGTGTTGACTGAGACAGGACAGCAGTGACAATGTTCTGAACATTCAGGTGTGAGGATCTGAAACAGTAGGCAATTCACAGGAAGGAACAGGCCTGGGAGTGTAAGAAGGACAGAGAGTGGCCCACAAGCTACCCAGTGAGCTACGAGTTCCAGGAGGCCAGGGCTGGGGTCCTCCGCAGACTGCTCAGCCTGCAGCTCCCCTGTGACCATAGACCTACCTTGCCCCCTCCTGTGAGGGCAGTTTGGGGCCCACGGGGACGTGGGATGGAGTAAAAGGAGCTTGAGGAAGGAAGGTTTTGCTTTGGCCTGTCAGTGGAGAGAGGGGAAGGGGGAAAGGGAGGAAGGGAGAGTGGGAGGCGGACAAGGATCTGCCCGGAGGGGAGGGCGGGAGGCAGCCGCTCCTCTGAACCAGTGCCGCGCAATGAACATTTTTATTTCTGAGGTTGTTTTAACTTCAAAGCTTAGCTCATGTTCTGGAGGTGTCAGTGTTGACCCCTCAGATGACCCAAGGTGGAGGGAAGCCCACGCGGACCTGAAGCAGCCACGGGCCGTGGTGTGGGAGGCTCCCAGGAGGACGGTGTCACTGTGATGTTCTATTTGAAGTTCGAG